TACTGCCGTAACATATATATAATTTGGAGGAAAGAATCAAAAGAAGGAAAATTGTTTCCTTGGCCAAAAAGGAAGATTGGTTTCCCTTTCACAATTAGGTAAGAATGGAAGATTCTGCCATCTCCTTAAATTATATAATAATTATAATTATAATTATAATTATAATTGTAATAATTATAATTAGGGCTCAAGATGAGTGTAGTTCCAACAAAAAATATAATGGATAAAAAGGCTTGGTTCAAATTGGGCTATTTACCAAAGGGAAGCTCAACCCAACAAACACTTAGTACAAGATCAGAGCTGTTGCACTTAATGTAAGAGCCATTGCACCTGCATATAATTTGAACAATTACTAACTGTTGTATTCGTTATTAGCCTAATATATATACTTAGGTATTGTAACAAGCATGAGTACGCTCAAAATACGTATAGAACACTTGAAGCAATACAATCATGCATCCTATTCTCTTAGAAAGCGTTTGGTACATTTCCATCAATTAAATTATTAGAAAGATATTTTCATAAAATGTATTTTATGGGAATAACTTTGCAAGGAAAATTAATTAACATGTTTAATTTTATGTTACCCTAAAAACATGAGAATCAAATTAACTAGAAAATTAATTAAGATGTTTGTTCATTTAACATTTTTTTATGACTTTTTTTTTTAATGTCTAACATATCAATGTTATACACAAACATTAAAAAGAAAAAAAAAAATGAATAATGAATAATTAAGAGTTTAATGCACTTGCAAATTAGTCAATCATATGCCAACAAATTTCAGTATGCAACAAGCTAAGAATATTCACATTAAATAAAAAATATTTGATAATTTTTTTTAGTCAATATAACTTGTCCTAAAAGTGAAATTTTTATATTTTTTCAATATTTGTAATTTCCTGAGAGAACTAATAGAAAATATTCTATACAAAAAATAAATAAATAAATAAATCATAAAGATAGATAATGATTTGTTGTTGTAATAAACTTATTTGTTATAAATACTTGCATAGCAGGACTAAACTAATACCTAATGTGAAAAATTAAAATAATTAATATACTTGTTAAATATGAAAGATAATCAATATAAAATAGAATTGATTATTTTCAATATAATCAAAATGAGTATTTTTAATTTGCAAAAATAAAATAAAATAAGAGCAAAAAAACAAAAAGAAATGTAATAATAATAATAATAATAATAATAATAATAATAATAATAATAATAATAATAATAATAATAATAATAATAATAATAATAATAATAATAATTACAACAACAACAACAACAAATTGCTCATTATTATTATTATTATATTGAAAATAATTTGTAATAAGTAAAGTCAAGAATAGTAATTAGTCTAGGAATATTATATTATCAAAGTTTTACATTAAATGGAAAATTAAAAGGTAAAGATGATAAATTTAAGAATATCTTATTATCATTGTACAAAGAAGCTAAGAAGTCAAAATGTAAAACTTATTAATCCTATCCTATATATAATAAAGCCATATGGTCTTGTGAAAATTAAATGGTGATAATTAACATTTAATTTTCACAAGACTATAATAATATTGTTAATTATAATAACAATAATAATAATAATTGCAATAATAATAATGATAATAATTTTCACTGACAGTTTCTAATATATATATATATATATATATATATATATTTATTTATTTATTTATTTATTTATTTATTTATTTATTTATTTTATTTATATTTTTATTTCTACTGGCAAATTATTGTGTGAACGATGGTCCACATAATTGTATGGATTATGAATATCAAATACATTTTTAATATATTAAAAATACATTATTTTTATATTGAAAGTACCTTACATACATATATAATGTACCCTTAGTATATTTAAAATATACTTTTTATTGCATGCAACCCCAAAGTTCATAAGTTTGAAATTAATATATGGCATAGCTAGGTGGCCTAATATTTAAGATTGTTGATGTGCATATTGAGGACTATGGAGACAAAGATGCGTTATTCGTGGATTCATCGGATACTATCCAACAACACTCTCCAACTTAATTGACGTGAAGTAGGCTTAGTAGCATTAAGATTATATTCTCGAATTATTAGTTCTCATCTTTTACAGGGCGTTTGGTTGGAGGGATTTTAAATTCCCTTCCCACTTAATTCCCACCTAATTCCAAAGACCATTAAATTCCGTAGTTTGGTTGGAGGGAATTGCAATTTCCCCATTTTCATGGAATTAAAATCCCATGTCCCCCCCGGTATTTTAATTCCTGGGAAAAAAAGATAGTGATGAGTCAAAATTACCCATTCCTTTTTTAACTTAAAATTAATGTCTAACAACAATAATGGACATTTTTGACTTTATATTACTTATTCCCTTTCAATTCCCATGTATACCAAATATTGGAATTGAAATTCCCAGTAATTTTATTCTTGTCAACCAAACACTGGAATTTAAATTCTCACTTTATTCCCAGTAATTCAACTCCCATGGAATTACAATTTCTTTCCCACATAATTCCCTCCCTCCAACCAAACGCCCTGTTAGTGATTACACACTTAATTCGATAGTATTTGGAAGAAAAAATCAATGTTCGAACTAAGATTGTGATTTTGGTCTTTAAAGGTCAATTGTATGTTGCTACATCTAGAGTTAGAAATCTCAAAGGTCTAAAAATTTTGATCCGTGGTGATTCTAAAATTGTAATTCAATTACTATTGTAGTTTACTAAGTTCTTAAAAATTTGTAATATTAAATACTATGTACTAAATTTTTAATATAGTTTATCCACCTTAAATATTATTTTAATTGTAAATATATTTATGTTCATAATTTTATCATAGGAATTCACACATAATAATTATTAAATAACAAAAATTTTATATATGTATAAACCTCAAGGTATATTTTTATAACATATTTTCCGTGCATCGCACGGGACAAATACTAGTATACATTATTACACAAACATGTTTTATATTTCCATTAAAACTTTAACAATATTGACTCTAATATAATTTAGTAGAAAAGAAAAAAGAAAATAAATGTTGGTACAATTTGATAGGTATGTTTTCTAATCTCTTTTTTTAGTATTGTGTCTTACAAGATAAGACTAATCCAATTGAATTTTGGTTAGACTCTATTTAAGCCGGTGAAGCTCTACTAAAAATGTTACTATATACATATATGAATTCAAACATTTAAGGTCATGATTAAACGATTTAGTCCCCTTTTACTTGAATCAACGTTTTTTGATTCAAAAGATTTTTTGTTCTCTTCCCCAAAAAAAAAAAAAAAAAAAAGTCACAAGGAATTCGAAATATTGTTGGATCAAAATTGGTGTTACAATGCAGGGCCAAGAAGTTTTGACCCATCACCTTCTTGGCCCAAAGGCCTCAGCTTCAATATCATCTCAAATGGGACATTTTACTTCTTTTGAGTTTTTCATAAAACTTTTTTTTTTCTGACCTTTTAATAATAAATATTTATATTTTTAAAGCAATTTACTTTTTTTTAAAAAAAAAAATTTTAGCCATAGATTTTTTTTTTTTTTTTTTTTTTTTTAATCTGAAAAACGGAAGACACTTAAAAAAACACTTGCCTCGTCACAAAGGGATCCTCTTTGGCCTCGGAATACCTAAACAAATTTCACGTATAATCACCATCACCACCACCATGGCATGTGGCGTATAAAGTATATATATAAACCGGAATCACCTCATTTCGATTAGCTATTCTTGCAAGACAATTGATTTCTCTTTTTTACTCATACTAAACACGACGCAAGAGAGTTTGTCACTCCCGACTCAAAGCTTCCTTGCTATTGTTAAACTATTTGAATTAGCTCTTGCATGCTTTATAACAACAACAATAATAATTTCAGTTCAAATATATATTTTTGGGAAATGGATCAAATAGGCCCTCGAACATTAGTTTAAAAGTCAATTAGGCCCCTAAACTTTTTAAAGGTGTAATTACACCCATCAACAATTCATTTAAGTGGAATGAAGCCCAAAAACAAATTAATGACCTGCTATCACAGGTAATTAGGGTTCAGGCCACCTTCCAGCAAAAAAAAAAAAAAAAACAAAAGTGACCAGCGAAATTTTTGACAAAAGAAGTGACCGGCGAAATTTTCGGCAAATCTAGGTCGGTTGCTGGTAAAAATTTTTTTGTCGAAAAATTCGCCGGAAGGTGGCCTAAACCCTAATAACTTGTGATAGCAGGTCATTAACTTGTTTTTGAGCTTCATTGCACCTAAATGAATTGTTGATGAGTGTAATTGCACCTTTAAAAAGTTTAGGGGCCTAATTGACTTTTAAGCTAAAGTTTGATGGCCTATTTGACCCTTTTTCCTATATTTTTTAACTCATAAAGATTTTGTTGAATGGTGAAATTAAAGTCTCTTGTAAATAATTCATTACTTTCCAGAATAATCAAGAATCTAATATCCAAATTAATGATAATACATTGTATAATTACCAAATATATAAAAAAGTATAAAACCATTACATAAGAACATATATGTCTATATAAGAAATCTTGAGATGGGTGCCAATTCCCCTCCTACATATACCAATTAAATACCAATAAAAAAAAAAATGCATAGACCACGTACCATGCAATGGCTTATGGGGATGGATAAGCATAAACGTACATGTTGCAATTTTGCATATTTATAATAAAGTAAGGAATCAATTTGATCTCCTTGGATTGGATTCTCATTTTATCAATAGAATATAGGCTAAGAATATAGCTAGCTAGGTAACTAAGAAAATGTAGTCTTCCTTTTTTATAAATTTGGTCCACATTCCACTTATCTAGAATGTACAACTTAGAATAAAGACACATGCATTCACTAACTAAAGCAACAAGAAACCCACAATAAAACCAAAACTATTGTTTTCAAAAAAGTCTCCAATTATTTCCACTTAAAAATTAAATAAGTGTAATAATTTGTATCGAAGATTGTGTAGTGATAGCACTGAATATAAAAAAATTGAATATTTTGTTATCATATATCACTAATTAAGTCTTTGCGCTTATTGACACGACTAATTTAAAGTTCTTGTATATTTATAAAATAATTTTGAACCAAATTCTACTTGCGCCCCTTAGTCTGTGCGTTCTTGTACGCACTACAAGCAATTAAATAAACCGAAATGAGGAGGACTACAGTAACAATCAATATCACATTCACCTTCCTCCATTCACTTCTAAGATTTCCAAGTAACCCAGCTTTACAAGAATCGCAATTATAACACAATTGGGTTGGATCATTGTTCCAGATGGAGCAATCAGCGTCTATCATAGGATAAGTTGGATTGATCCACATTGTCGGACTCACGTATTGGTAACCACATATTGTTGGGGGCTTGCAACATCCTGACTGCAACGTAATATTCATTACAATATATAGTCACAATATTTTCCCAGCCTTAATGTAATATTAAAAAACACATAACATTAACATTCTCGACATGTAAATTTACCATCATATAATTATGGGTAGACAAGAACATGATTACAGGCTGGTAAACTATATATATGTGAGAGTGGAAGTAATTTTAGTGTAATTTATTTGATAAATATTAAATTTTAATCTTTGCTCGTTTATAAATTAAAAAAAAAAATTAAATTAAGGGTGACATTTCAAATTAAAAGATGTTTGGCAACCATTATTGTAAATTTTGAATACAAGTTTCATTATCAAAGCTGTCATGCTAATGACTACGAACTAATTATTGGGCACCATCTACTTTAATTTATAATTATAGTAAAGTAAAGAGTTAGTGATATAAGATTTCTTGCCATGATAATATCTTATATTTAATCATGAAATTATATTAAAAACATATTTAATAGAATGAAAGGCATAACAGAATATATATATATATATATATATATATATATATATATAGGATGTCGATATCATAATATATAATGTTTATATCTTTTTTAGTCTAATCACAAGTTTTCTTAACCAGTTGACTAGCAACTACTATACACACCAAAATTAATTATGCTTGCTAGCTTAGTGATATGACTATGACCTAATTATTGGGCACTATCTACTTTATAATTATAGTAAAGAGTTAGTGATCGATCTAGAATTTCATGCCATGATAATATCCTGTATTCAATAAAATTATATTTAAAAAAAACATTTTTAATAGAATGAAAAGTATAACACATGATAGGATGTCAATATCATAATACATAATGTCTATATAGTCATGCATATAAGACCGACACTATAATATTATACCTAAATATATCATTCACATAAAATAAAAAATTATACTTGGTATTATTATTATTATTTTTTTTGAAAACATACTTGGTATTATTTTATATCACTAGTTTAATCAAACATTTCAATTTATAAAATTATTTATGTCACTTTTAATTTTTAATAATTAGTTATATTTTTACGTGTGATATTGTAGAAAGATTATATATAATTATACTTATAATATATATTTTGCTTTTAAAATGCCAAATTAGATCATGCTCCTTTCTTTGCAGACATGATTAGACCTTTTTCTACTACTAATAATGCTAAAGTTTTTATTTACCTTTTGGAAGTCAAAAAGCCGAATAAATTATATTCTCCCAACATATTTAATTTTATACTTTACCATACATACCATACCATTTATACTTTTCCATCAAGTTGGTCCAATATTCCCCTCTAACTTTTTCAATACGGAGTATCTACTTTTAGTCCATGCTCATAAACCACACAAAATTAATTCCCATGCAATATATTCTTCTTAATATATATTAACTAGATAAATTCTTCATCTTTTTTCCGAAATAAAAAACTTGAGAAAGAAAATAAAAATAATACATTTACTTTGTATTTTTAAAAAACGGGAAACAAACATTGAAAAATAGAAAATTAGAGAAAGAAAAACATAGAAATAAAATAAACATTATTTTAATAATTCTTTTCCATTTGTTTATATATTGAATTCCGATAAAATTTTATTGAATTCGTAGTTAGAGACATTAAAAATGGCAAAAAAAAAATTAATAATTATACACTAAAAATTGACAAAAATGAAATTTAAGGATGAATTCAAATTAAAGTGTTATGCATATAAAAGTTGTACGGTCATTGTCATGAGATCAAGAGAGGAAAATTTTATTTGTGATTTTCATTAGTGTTATGTAAATATTGTTTAATTACCTAATCACTAATAAATACAATATAATGATTCACGATTCAAATGAAAGTAACTCCGTTAATTTTTTTTTTCTTTTTAAGTAATATGACAATATATTGCTTGTGACAATAGAGTAAGTAGTAAATGAGCAAATACCAGTTGGGTCTTTCGAGTATAGTTATATCTTCGTCTTTAGTCATAAATTTTTAAGTTAATCACTTATGATATTTTAACTTTTAAATTTAATAAGTACTGGTCCTTTGGTTAGGTTAAGTATGGGCAAAATTAGGACAAAAAATTTTAAAAGTTAAAAAATCATGAATGTTTATCTTAAAAGTTAAAAGAACAATAATAATTAAAGGTAATTAAATTAAAAGTTTAGAATTAAACATGAATATTAACTCGTAGTAAAATAATATTTACCTGCAGAGGAGAAAGACGGGCGGCGAAGAATAGTTGAGCAGTGAAGTAGTTATTATTCATGGCGGGACAAATATGAGGATCCGCAGCCAAACACGCCCTAATGTCCGCCCAGTAATCGTCCCCGGTGACATGATCCCTGAGCCAAGCAGAGTAGCCACCGAGGCGGTAATCGTGGTAGCGGCGGCCGGGGACGGCGTAGGAGCCGTCGGGGGGCGTGACGACGGAGGCGAGGATGAGGAGGGAGAGGAGGAGGACGATGAGGATGGCCATGGAGACGAGGTAGACGCCGAGAAGGCCCTCTTTGTTCCAGTAGGCGCCGGCGAAGCCGGTGAGGGAGACAAGGAGGAGGGCGACGCCCATGACGACGAGGGGCCACCGGAGCCAGAGGATGCACTGGTTGTCGGCCTTGGAGGCCAGCCAGATTCCGGCGGAGATGATGGGTATGGAGCACATAAAGGCCACGAAGTTTAGGAAAGCTGTTATGTTGTTGCTTAGCGACGACGCCATTGTTGTTACGTTGGTTTCGATCTGTGACTAAAGCTAGCAGCTCAGCTCGATCTTAGCGGGGGACGGGGGAATATATATATATGTGTGTGTGTGTGTGTGTGTGTGTGTGTGTGTGTGTGTGTGTGTGTGTGTGTGTGTGTGTGTGTGTGTGTGTGTGTGTGTCCTGAAGGACCCTTAACTTTTATCAAAAAATCAATTAGATCTTTAATCTTTTAAAAGTTATAATTAAACATACTAGTTTAGAGCACTGAAATCCAGAAATTGGTTGGTGACCTGCAATTGCATGTCACTAGGGTTCCGACAAACTTCTGACCAAAAAACACCGGCCACTCGGTCGCCAGTCGCGTTCACCTTCTCCGGCAAAAGAGAAGGCAAACCGACTAGCCTGCCTTCTCCTTCCCCGGCTAAGGGGAAGGCGACTAACCCTTCATCGGAGAAGGCATATTAGTTGGTCTGCCTTCTCTTTCACCATAGAAGATGAACGTGATCAGCGACCGAGTGGCCGGTGTTTTTGGTCCGAAAATCGGTCTAAAGTTCGCCGGAACTTTAATGACCTACAATTACAGGTTACCAACCGATTTCTGGACTTTAATGCTCTAAAATAGTATATTTATGAATTTAATTGCAACTTTTGAAAATTTAAAAGCTTAATTGAGTTTTTGATAAAAGTTTAGGGACTTATTTGACCATTTTCTCTAATAATAATAATAATAGAAAACCTTTGCCAACTATTGTTTTAATTATTAATCACTTTTACTTATTAAATCTCATTCAATTACTTTGTCTAATCATTAAATTTTAGTACTCGATCGATCATGTGTCAGTGTGTCACTGTGTTACTGCATGCCAACATAATCATTGACATTCAAAGTGTGACTATTAGATGCACATTTCATTTTACTTATGGCTAACCCAATACTATCTAGGTGTAATTAAAACCTAATAATTAAGCTGCTGCTAACTTATTTGCATTATTCTCATCATTAGCTTTAGCTTTTCTAAAAACCAAAAGCACAAAATTCAACCTCATACCATATCATGGTAACAAGTATATATAACCAAGTAGGGGCAACCCAGACATATTGATCAAGCTGTTGACTTGGTAACGTAACCACAAGATTACAAGTTCAACTTCTAGTAGGAGCAACTTATTAATTGACATTCATGGTTTGATTGAGCCAATCAGTTATGAGTAACCTAAGCTAATTTATATCCTTGTGGTTTTTTGCTGGCTAAGGTCACAAGATTTATTTAGTGCACACCCTCAAGTAATGACTACGAGTTTTCCTCATCACTCTAAAACAAAGTGTGTATTTTTTCTTTCAAACTAGTAGACTTTTTTCATGCTTAATTACATTTTCAACATTGTGTTGATAATTGCCTATGTGACTCTCTCCTTTTATCTCTCCTATCCATTCAAATCTACACCTTTAATTTGTCTACAAAAATTTAGACAGTATGAATGGGTTAGTAGCACGTACATGGTCCTACTGCTACAAGAAATTTTGCTTTGCAAAACCTCACTCGTTACTATATAAAACCTCACTCGTTACTATATATATATATGCTTGGAGGGGATATGCTATATATCTACTTGGCAAATTATTGTGTGGACCATGAATATCATATACATTTTTAATATATTAAAAGTACATTATTTTTATACTGTACTAAGGATACATTATTTTTGTATTGAAAGTACATTATATAAAATAATGTACCCTTAGTATATTAAAAATGTAATCTACCTTACATACATAAATAATGTATCCTTAGTATATTAAAAATGTACTTTTTATTTATAGTCCATACAATTGTGTGGATCATGGTCCATGCAATAATAATTGTATCTAGTTCATCCTGGCCATGTTGTATTGGATACAAGAAATATAGGTTACTTTGTCACAACTAGAGTTGTCCATATTGAGCCCTAGATATGAGTTATAAGTATCCAGTAATAAATTATTTTATTAAAAAAAAAAGTCGACATTATTACATCCCAAAATATTACAGTATTACTTTCTTAAATTAAACATTATATATATTGTCTTTAAAATCAACTTTAAAAAATCAAAAGTGTTTTCAACTTAGCTTTTAGTGACAAAAGAATAAAATTATACATGGCTAATGATCTAGAGGGGGTATGTTTGTAAGTCTACACATGTACAGGGCCGGTCCAAACATTTTATAGGCCTGGGGCGAAATTGAAAAAAAGGCCCCCTATATGAAAAATTAAAATTAAAATTTAAAAACACTAATAAAATCATGATGTCAAATAATATGAAATAAGATTAAAAAATTTTCAACAATCTTTTTAAATACAAAAATATTCATGTCATTCCATCCCTGCAAAAATAAAGATTAATATTTTGCATAAATAAATAAAAGTATAACAGACCAATTAATTCCGAATAAATCCCCATTAATATTTGGACATCAACATTCAACAGGAACAATCCACAAAGATTAAAAAGAGACAATATGAATCACTACAGCAAAGTAATTAGTAAATTAAACCAAAAAATTACTTTGGCATCTAACAAATGCCATTTTACTTTGAGAAGGAATAGATACAACAATACAGCTTATCCAATTAACAATACAGCTTATTCAATATTTCAATTAACAATTAAGAATTTGGAATTCTGGATAAATGGATAATTATTTAATCTGCAAACTAAGCCATGAAAATCCCGATTAAAAATTATCATTCTTAAATAAATTATAGAGGTTTCAGCAATCATTCTTCCAAAAGGCTGAACCTCAACCCTAAGGGCCCCCCACACCCCGGCCCGACAGAGCATTTGAGAGGATGTAAATCATGGTGACTCAACTGAACATGAACCATAGAGGCTAGACCGATGCTCACTGCGCACAAGAAGCCCCCCTCACTAGCATTTGGGAGGATGTAAATCATGGTGACTCAACTGAACATGAACCATAGAGGCTAGACCGGTGCTCACTGCGCACAATAAGTCCCCCTCACTTTGAGAGGTTGCTCCCACACTGCCGCTGGTGAGACTCAATCCCTGGTCATTCTTCCAAAGTTTCACCTCTATGACCAGTTGAGCTACCCATGTGCCCAGGTTTTAGAAATCTAATTCTACAAATTCCTAATGCAGTGCATTCTACAATTATGCAAATCTCAATTTCTAAATGGCCAAATCATAGACTTTTCAACAATACAGTTAACAAATACGGCCTAATTCCTAAATCATAGCTTTCAAAAAAAAAATCCCAAATCATAAAAATTAAAATACCTTTGCAAATTACAATTGTAGACCGGAGTGGTGAAGGCGCGGCGAACAGAATCAGGATCGGCTGACCGCAGAGAAGATTTGTTATTTGTGGATTATGAAAGTAGATTGTCGATTCACTCAACTGCCCATTCTTCTCCTCCTAAAAGGTTGAATCCCCAACCCTAAGGGCCCCCCACACCCCTCAATTGCCCATTCTTATTTAGCTTGAGAGGAATTGAACGGTTGCTGTGGCGGAGAGGTATTGAATGGTTGTGACTTGCGATGCGTTGATGCTTCTTTTCTTCGATTCTTCCTGAATCTTCCATCTATTCGACTTCCATAAGAATTTATTAAGTCAAAAATAATTAAATAATTTTTTCTAATATATACTAAGTAATATATACAATATACAATATATTATTATATCTTAGTTTATGGGCCCCTCTAGGGATGGGCCCTGGGCAGGGGCCCAGCCTGCCCATGCCCCAGGGCCGGCCCTGCACATGTAATTAAATTAACTTGTATACCAAATTGGTCTGATCTTTTTTGTTTGAACCGTTCAATTATTAGGCTACGAATTTTCCTCGCTACTCAGAAAAGAAGATTGATACTTGCATATAATCAGCGGCATGTCGCATTAGTCTTTTTTATTTGAACCATTCAAAGATTGATACTTTTGCCAGGGGCGGACCTACAGTGGGGGCAGTGGGGTCAGCTGCCCCCACTCACCCCACCCCCACCCCTTATATAACCCTTGTATGTATATGTGTATATATAGTAGAGGTTTAAGTATAACTATTAAAAAATAGAGAAATGTCAACTGAATGTGGCTTAGCCCAGTTGGCTGGGCGCATGGGTGGCTTGGACGCAGGCCGGGTTTGAATCTCCTTCATTTATTTTCAACATTGCCTTTTCTTATTCTTTCACTATTAACACTATCTTTTCTCATTATTTCACATTTTCACTATTATTAAAAGTGCATATTGCTTCAACACAATAATATAATCTTCATTTATATATTAATAATGAGATGAGATGTGTGATTTATAATGGATCTTTTATTTAAATTATTTTATCAAATTGATTATGTTCATATTTTGTTATGAATAAAAATATAATGTTTTTATGTGTTTTATAATTTTCTTATATCCAATATTATTTATGGCTATACTTTTTAAGTGTTTCATTTTCTTTTTTCTAGTTATCAATTTTACTTTAAAATTTTGCCCCCCGTTGAAAAAAATTCCTGGGTCCGCCAGTGACTTTTGCATACCATCAAAACATTTCCTCAATCATGAACTATATATGAAGCAGCTTCACATAGACTGCAAATTAAAAGGCCATTTAAACACACAAGAAGCTAAGAACTGAAAGAAAACACATGTTTTAGAGTGCAGATCAATGCCCATTGGCCTGCAGTTTCTTCATCGCCTCGAACCTCGGGCCCTTGTCTCCAAACTTGGTGCTTCCATAGTGCTTCAGATAATCTTGGAAGCAGACATTGTTAGGGTACAAGAGCTTTGGTGCAGGAGAAATCATGGCATCAGATGCAGGGTTATAGAAGGTGGCAATGGAGAGTCTGTTCCCATCATTTTGTGCCAACACCCTATGCAGAGTGCTCTTGTACATTCCATTGCTCAGAATCTCCACCTGATCCCCTGTGTTGACAAAGATTCTGTTGTTCTTGGAGGGTGGAATCTTCACCCATTGTTCATCTTTGAAGAACTCGAGGCCGGGGACTTGATCATCCTGCAGCAGCAGAATGATGCCACCTGCATCTGTGTGTTCTCTGAGCCCTCTAACTAGTTCAGGGTTTGGGCATTCTGGGTAGATAGCCACCTTTGTTCCAATAGATTCACCTTTGCTCCCTGAAAATGATTCTTTAATGTGGTTCTTCTCTAGTCCTAGGTTCTCACACATGAGTTCTGAAAGCTCCTCTGCTACCTTCATCAGCTGTTCAATGTACTGCTCCATTGTTTTGCTGTAAATTTCACCAATACATTTTAAGCCAATCCATAGTAACACTATATGTGAGGGGCATGAACGTAAGACGTGTTTCGTCTAAACTAAAAGGTTAAGCTGATACGAGACTACACATTTATATTTGACATAAGTTCCTTGCATTCAATGAAATAGTAGTGGTGCTCTTTGGATATTCATCTAGTGGATAAGAAACATCACTTAAAAGATTTCCTTCCAGTAGTGGGTAGGGTTCAATTCCTGCCACGAAAATGAGGGTTTGAGCTTGGGTTGGCTTCTTTCTATGTAGAAGTGTACAATTTGGTGTTCAGTTTTGAAGCTAAACTGACATGATTTACTTTCTCATGGGCATGGGGCAAGTTTGGGCTTGGGTTGGCTTCCTTCTACGCAGAAGCTAGTGTACAATTTGATTTACTTTCTCATGGGCCTGGGACAAGTTTGGGCTTGGGTTGGCTTCCTTCTATGCGGAAGTGTACAATTTGATTTACCTTTTTATGGGTCTAGGGCAAGTTTGGGCTTGGATTGGCTTCCTTTTACATAGAAGTGTACAATTTGAGGTTGAGTCTCAACTCTCAAAGCTAAATTGGCTCGATTTATCTTCTCATGGGCCTGGGGCAAGTTTGGGCTTAAATTGGACTTCTTATGCGCAGAAGTGTACAGTTCGATATTGTGTCTCGAAACTAAATTAGTTCAATTTACCTCTCCAGGCTGGGGGCGGGTCCATGGGGTTCAATATAGTCCAGTAAATTTGGTTATAAAAAATGAAATAGTAGTGGTGAACTTACCTAAAGTTGTTTGGAAAGTTTTTGAGTTCATTGATGTTGGAAGTTGGATGATGCCAAATGAAGTAAGTGCTTTCCCAGTCTGCATCTCTGATACTCTCTTTCTTATTCTCCACACACTTGACAACATCTGAGGCATAAAACCTTTCCTTCAAGCTGTCTTCATAATGCTGTGTCACCATCTTCTTCACATTCTCCATCAACTCTCTGTCAATTCCATGATTCTCTACCTACATACACACAAACTGGAATAAAAAAACAAAAAAAGCTACCAACAAGAAACTGCAATATAATTAAGATGAGCAAAGGGCACTATAGTTTTTATATATACCATAAAGAATCCCCATCTCTCACAAGCATGGTGGAGAAGTTTCATGGTTTTGCTTCTCTCCTCACCAGCTAGCTTACTGAAGTCAATAACAGGGATCTCCATTTCTCTATCAAGGAATGAATGGAAAAGCAAGTGTGAATGAGGGCTATATATAGCCACAGGAAAGAGGGTTGAAAATTCTTTCTGGTGTCAGTAAAATTTCAAGAAATGACAGTTGCAGTTAAAAAAAAAAAAAAAAAAAAAAGAAGAAGAGATTATTCATGAGTACATTGGGAGTAGCAAAGAGATCCAGGTTCAGTTCATGAACAGCCATGTGATTGGGGTTTTATTTATAGTTTTTAGATTATGAATCAGAAGATGAATGGGTGATATTTGCCTCACTAATCAAACATTTTAACTTCACTTTGCAGGAAAGTTTCCCTGATAAGATGCATCTAGAGCACAATAATGTTACCCTTCCATGTGGGATTATTCTCGAAAGGGTTTGCGCTCCAAACTCGAAAGCTTCCCACCTGTGTCACTGTTCTAGTATTTTAGTGAAAGGATAAATTACGAGATATATCTGAAATAATATTATACATACTCTTAATTTTTATGCCAGTTTTTATCCCAAGCATACATGCATGTCATGTTCTATCTCATTTCGTCAAGAGTGAGCTATTGATTTCTTTTTCTTTTATTTAAATTTATAAACGGTAATTATCATTAAAATTGACTGTCAATTTTACTTTAAACTAAATCAATTAAAATGCGGTCGAGTGCATGTGAGAGTATTCTCCATCTCATTGGAATTTACATGTCAAGTAGGGCTTTTTTAGTAGTTGAAGTTGAATAAGAGAGTGATGAGACATTTCATACCAAATTGGTATAGATTTTTGTTTAATTGTAGTTGATTGGATTGCTAAAAACTGGGGGCGGTTTTGGTTTTGGTATTGAATTCTCGATAATTCGAAGTTGACTGTTGGACCAGCAGCCTCAGATCATCATCATCAATTGCTTAATTTTTGGGTCATTATCACTAACCTTTACTCAACAAATATTATAAGCATATATCTTTGTTTTTTTTTTAATCTTTGAATCTATGACTTTATGACTTAATTGGTCATTCCTTTTTTCAAAAAGAAAAATTTATCATTTCACGGCATATGAGCGTTGTCATGATTTTAACTGGTAAAAGATCACAATATAATAAATCAATTGTTTATAGTTGATCAGTTCAAATCAAGAAAGTCAATAAACAATTCTCATAGAATGTAATTATTAAATTAACTTATTGACTCAACTGAAGTTACCTCTATTTATGTTTATTCTGAATTAATCAAATCATGTGATTCATGTCATGTTTGTAGACAATAAATTAGAATATAGCAAGTAGACTCGGGACTCTCAAATTTACTTCCTACACTCAAATGTTTATGTAGATTATTTTTCTTGATTCCCATAACAAAAGTAAAAAGTGAGAATACAAGTAACCCGATCGGAGTGGTGTTTGAGTTCAATTTGGCTTGTTAATTCCTATTTCCCTTCAATCATGAACTGCTACAGCGCCACCAGTATTGAAATTATATTATTATTATTATTATTATTATTATTTAAAGATGATCTTGAGCTAACCGGGTAATGATTAACAATTACCAATTATCGATCGGTTCATAGCTTTCGACGCCATTTTCTCCGGCCGGCGGCTGCCATGTCCGTCCACCGTCCTTCGCCGCCCTCTCTTTTCGCATGTATCTGCACATACAATTGGTATACTATATGTGTTGGGGCGGGGTTCACACTGCACTTGAACTTGGTTCATGTGTTTGTATTTTATGTTAGGACTTTTTTTATTTTGTGTTATTAAATTTTGTATCTTATGATTTTATAAGTATGAATTATGTACCTAAAACAAATTTATAATTGTGTCTTACGTTATTAATTTACATGTCTTGTGTTGTGAAGTTTTGTATCTATGAACACAAATTATGTACCTAAATCAAATTTGAAAAATAAGTAAATATATGACATGCGTTTGTGTCTTGTGTAATGATTTTTTGTGACTTATGTTATGAAATTATGTTTGAATTTTGTACATCGTCTTTTCAATCTAACTGGGTCCATAATGCTATGCTATGCGTTTTGTGTTGTGATTTTTTATGTTTTGTGTTATGAAATTATGTACCTTACGAATATAGATTCTATACCTCGTTGTTTCAATCCATAATCCATAATGCTAAGTGGACTCCGATCCATGATATAAATTACTTGTGTTGGGGGCAAATTATTGTATAGATCATGATCCACACAGTGTTGTATGGACCATAACAAAAAGTACATTTTTAATTTTTAATATACTAAATGTACATTATTTGTGTATTGGATGTACATATATAATATAATGTACACGCAATACATAAATAATGTACATCTCCTGAATATAATGTATATTTTTAATATATTAAAAATATATTATATTTGTACTGAATGTACATTATTTTACAATATATAAAATATGGTTCATACAGCTTGTGTGGATTATGGTCCACACAATAATGATTTTCCGGGTATGGGCCTAAATTGTGTAATTAATAGGCTTGAGTTTGGGTTGGAACCGACGATCAATTATTATTTTTTCTAAGAAGCATCTTATATAAAGATCGAGTTGTGGATAAATGTTACGGAGTATATCATTAAGTTTATGCTTTTCAATCCAAATTAAATAATTCATATCTTTTTCTTTAAAAAGTGTAGATTTTTTTTTAATACACAAATGCACTTACCCTATTAAATTAACTTTGGTTAAGTTTTTTATTTACTTCTTTTTCTCAAAGGGATACATCTAAACAATGCCCAATTGTATTAAAAAAAAAGTATTGTCATTATTATCATTCAACTAGTTTTACACGCACATTACGCGAATGAGTTAATGTTCAATATTTATAATTAAATAAATATTTAAAAATATATCAATGCAAGATTATATATGAAAAGTTCATACATAAGTAATTTAATGTCGAATTTGTTTATTTAAATATGTAACTCATAGTATATGAATACAATGTAATATAGGAGATTCATTATAATTGTTACTAAATTTTTTTAAAATAGTAACCAAGTATTTTTGTTACAAAGGGTTCTAATATATTTAATGAATGCACATATATACAAGATCAATAGATGAATCGACGGTACTAGTCCTTTATGTGTTTTGCTCAGTGTTCTTTTTTTTTTTTTTTGAACGCCACTAACTCTATTACAATGTAATATAACGCCTCCACTGAGGCTTGAACTTACAACCTCCCATATGGGAGTATGATGCCATTAGACCACAAGGTCTTGGCGTTCAATGTTCATTTAGTTCAACCATTATTGTTGAATAAATTATTGTGGATAAAGAAATTTCTAATTTAAGGAAGTTTGATGTAATAAAAATTTAAAAATTTTAATTATAATTTAACCAAAAGATATTGGGCGATTGGTAAATATGATGTAACCCAAATATCAAAATGCTAAAGAAAGTATTTATTTATTCAACAGTTTGAAGCAACAATTTGTTCTGAACCACTGAAAATACAAACATTGCAATTTACAATATTTTCACTTAGTGTTTTTGAGAATGATTTTCCCCAAAACACTTCTATATTTAAAAAAAAATATATATATATTACTGTAGAGCCATTTCAACTCCTTGAATAACAAGAGCTAGTTTCGCTGGCTTGCCCATCAACGAATAGGCAATCTTAATTTTTAAATTGAAGCATTAAGACTCCTTTTATAGGAGCCTCAAAGCTCCCATGCCACTTTTGCAACTTAATATTTTACATATTTCACAAACGAGCTGAGCCTAATGCAATAAACATTAAAAAAAATATTGGTTAATATGTGTGCATGTGATCGATAAGACAAAATTTTCTATCGGTATTATAATTCAAACACTATATTTATGATATAAAATCAATTTGATGAGAGATGTATATGTAAGTTTTAGGTTTTGAAGTAACATATTCTACTAATTTCTCAACTAAATTAAAAAAAAAAAAAAAAAATCTATGAAACAAAATTGACTAATTATTTTATTATATATATAAAAAAAAATTATACATTTTCTACTAACTTCAAGACTACCGTAGATGTGAAATTGTTTCTATGCAAATATTTTTGTTTAAAATTTAACTCTATTAAACACTTTCGACTATATATATAAATTTTACAAATTACTTTTTTTTATTATTTTCTTTAATATGATATATTTTAATATATTCGTCATTTTAATGCTGGACATATATCTTGCTTAGCTTGATACTTATTTTTGCACAATGCCTATATTGTTGCTAATTTAATTACCTAAAACTCAATGAATATTTATTCATATATTAAACACGTACAAATATTTAATTTATATATATTCAATAAATATTCTATCTTTGTCCCATTTTTATATGTCTAGTTCTTTTTTACGAGACTTGATTAAAATTATTTGTAATTTAATTTTTCATGGCCCTGTTTGGTAAATGAACGTTAGCTGATAGCGGTTAGCTGTTAGCTGATTGAGTTAATTAGATGACATAACTAGTTGATAACATCAGCTGATTGTAGAAAGGTGTTTGGTAAATTAGCTTTTAGCTAATAACTGTTTGGTATAATTTCTTTTCTCAAAAAGCTAATTGAAAAAGTTGCTTTGAGCAACTTTTTGAATTTTAACATTTTAGAGTTACAAAAAGCTAATTAACCAAACACTTATATTGATTTTTTTAACCAAGTCAAACAATTAATAATGATCAAATAAGCCAAAATTGACTGATAAGCTAACTATTTTACCAAGTCAAACAATTAAGAGTGATCAAATAAACTCATTAATTATTCATAAAAGTTTAATTAATTAAGCATACAAACTAGAAAAAGCTTCAATTAGACAGTACACCTGAATTTGAAAAAAAAAATGCTATTAATCTAATTTCACATGTTATTACACTTAACATTTAGGTTATAAGTGATTGTAATGCCACATAATTATATTTGTTGTCTTGGATATCTAATAATAATAATAATAATAATAATAATAATAATAATAATAATAATAATAATAATAATAATAATAATAATAATAATATAAAAATTGAAATATTTAACAATTAAAAATAATAATAATAAGCTTATTCGCCATGGCAGGTCGCTGTAAAAATAATAATAATAAGCTTACTAGCAATATATACAATGATACATGGCATAAGAACAACAGCTTGTTTGTCCCCCTTTACTTGTGCCAAAAGTCAGAGAAATTAATTAGATAGTACTCCGTACTATATATTTGATGAGAAAAACCCTAGATAGCTCATAGCTAGCTAGCTAGGATACCTAGAAATTATGATAACAAGCATGCATGAATCTACCAAAATGTACCTATGTAAAGGATTGGAATATAATCACTCTACCACAACTCTTTTCATTTTTATTTTTATTTTTATTTTTTTGAAAGCCTTTTAATTTTTATTAATACACTTTTTGTATAATTAATTAAATATTTAGAAGCAATATATTAAAATATTTTTAATTTTATTCAAACAATTTTCAATAATAACTTCCAAACTAATTTTATTTAATTAAATATTATTTACAAATATTATAAATATTAATATGTATTTTATTTTATTTAATCAAACATTTGGAAACAATTTCTAAAAAATAATTTTATTCTATTCCAAAAAAAAACCCACAATATAATTTTGAATCTGTTACAATTGTAACAACTAAATATGCAAGTTTGGATAAATTTTTTTTAAAAAAAAATATCAAGAGCTATAAACTCTAAGTGTAATGCACTCTTGCATTTTTGTAAGTTCAATCTTTTAATACTAAATGTGCAATATGTTAATACTAAATGTGTAAACGTGAAAATTTTGAGAAGTGTAGATTTTAGTGTTTCAAGTTTGCATAGTGCATTCAAAAAAAAAAAAAGTTTACATAGTAAAATTAATGATAATTACGAAATACCACCGCACTTTTTTTTTTTTTAATTTGATTTTATCCTTCTGATTTTTCGAGATGTAAAACTGAGATTGATTTTTTATTTTCTCTTAAAAATTTATTCTCATATAATCCTATATATATACACACACACACATACTAAATAATATCCACTTCTTTTGAAACATCGGAGAGGATATGTTGAGGTTGTATAGGATCGAACATAGATTTGTTTACAAGCACCAGTTGTCGTGTTGCACAACATATTACAGATGGTCCATAAAGTGTCCTGATGTGGGTTGTCTCAGGTTGCTTTCCTCACAGCTTTATATATATCCCAACGATATTAACAAAAAGCCGATAATGTATATGTGCAACTTTCTTTTTTGTTGAGAACATGTGCAACTTTCTTGATCACCCAATCCATAACTTCCTACCACCACCTAAACCAATACAAGATAATATATCCATACACTTATTTTTATTTTTTAGTTTATCTAGTGTGTCTATAGTATATATATAATTTTTAGGAATAAGGGTCAAATAGGCCATCGAACTGCACTCAATAATGCAATTAGGCCACCGAACTTCAAAAAGCTACAATTGGGTCCCTGAACTAACAAATTCTATTCAATTAGTCTAATTTGTAGGTTTCCAAGTTGTTAGCAGGTTACCTCTTTTCAAAAAAAAAAATTAATTATTATTTAAAATAATTATTTAATATTAATAATTAAAATTAAAAAAAAAAAAAAAAAAAAAAAAAAAAAAAAAAAAAACAGAGATTGACACGCCGGAGACGAAGAAGGTTTCTTCGTCTCCGGCCATGGAGACGGAGAAATCTTCTTCGTCTCTGGCTGGAGACGAAGAATATCTTCGTCTCCATGGCCGGAGACGAAGAATATCTTCGTCTCCATGGCCGGAGACGAAGAGACTCTTCGTCTCCGGCCATGGAGACGAAGAGTTTCTTCGTCTCCGGCAATGGAGACGGAGTTAACTTCTTCGTCTCTGGCCGGAGACGAAGGAACCTTCTTCGTCTCCGGCCAGAGACGAAGAAATTAACTCCGTCTCCATGGCCGGAGACGAAGAAGGTTTCTTCGTCTCCGGCAGACGGTATCTTTTTTTTTTTTTTTTTTTTTTTTTTTAAATTTTAAATAAGTATTTTAAATAATAATTTTTTAAAAATATTATAAATTAGGGGTGACCTGCTAATAACCTCCAAAACCTACAAATTGGACTAATTGAATAGAATTAGTTAGTTCAGGGAGCTAATTGTTGCTTTTTAAAGTTCGATGGCCTAATTGCATTATTAGGTGCAGTTCGATGGCCTATTTGACCCTTATTCCTAATTTTTATATCTAGATTCACATTAGTCCTGTGTCCCTCACATTAACGGTAATTTTTTTTTACTTTTTTTTGAAATAACATTAGCGGTAATTTGTTGAATATGTCACTTTGCACTCGATTATATTGCACATTTTTCAGTTTAAAGATTTTTTTTTTTTTTTTTTTTTAGTTATGGACTTAACTGCACTATTCATTTCACTTAGGGAGCTTGTTTTTACCCATTTTCTCATAATTTTTGTTAAAGTTTATTATCTTCGGATAATATATTTACTTTCGGAAAGGTGTGACTTGTGAGTCTTTGACCGATTAGTGATGGTGAAAATTTTGTGTGCATAGATATGTATAGTAGTTTGACAAAACTTGAAAATTAAGTTATTAATAAATAAAATAAAATAAATTCTTTTAGGGTAAAGTGAAGTGTTTGAAGGTGAGATCTGACGATCCAAAATGCTCCACATCAAATCAAATAAGAACAATGATTGAGATTGTGGGTCTAATAATAAGAATTTTTCCCAAGTTTACAGGGAAAGGTTCTAGTCTCCTCTTTGGTCCTGCTCCAAATGGTCCAAGTCTGTAACAAACAGAAATGATGACTAGGAATTGTACGTCTGAATGGAATCACAAGAAAACAAGTAAATAAACCCCCCCTCTTGTCCTTTAACTTGCATGCAACAATATCCATAAATAGAAGATATCATTAAAAAAAAAATCCATAAAATAACCTTTACCCTTACAAAACCTTAATTTTTGCCGCTTAACTGCACAACATGCTTTTAATAGATGAAGCGCTTACCAGTGTGTCAAAACTTATAGCAAGTAACAAAGACGCAACTTTATTTTCTTATACTTGCATAACAGTCAGCACTATCTTTCGATGACATGATGCAAGACTTAGCCCTTCAAGCCTCCGCCCAACAAAAATAATGTAATACAACCAAATCTAGTTGATGACGTATGACTAAATTTATTTTGTAATTTAACTATTAGTTTAAACTTTTAACTGATAGTCCAAGTATAATATAGGTTTTTAGTTGATGGAATACTACTTAAGAATAATAGGGATATATAAATTCATTATATATAATTTGTAGATATGGAAACAAATAAATGTGGAACACATAAATGCTGGTGTGAGAAGCAGACAAATATATGTGCTCCACAGTCCACACCATAAACATGCATGTGAACATATATATATATATATATATATATATATATATATATATATATATATATATATATATGTGAGTACAGATCTATACATATATACATACAAATATGTATATAGGAGTATATATATATATATACTTGTCTAGGTGAAAAGGCTTAGCTTTAATTAACAAGGCCTGGCCTGCATCCAGGTTGGTACATTGGTCACAATCTCTTAAAAGTGAATGTACTATGTGAAAATGACAGAAAATTTTTCCAGAGAGAACATAAAGTAGTCTTAATTAAAGTGCATAAATTAGGTTATTTCAAGTATCAAGCCCTTTGTTTTTTCAGCAAATTAATTAAAATAAGCTCCTAATTAATAAGTGAAACAAATTGAAGATTAGTGGAATTAAAGAATATAATGTAATTCATGGTCACAGCCACAAGCCCACAATGCTATTGAAAATACACAAACTACATACATACCGACCTAGGAGGTGCCTAGATAATTAACGGTTACAAATTTTTCAAAATACTTGTACACGGGTATCTGTAACAAGTCGATTCTGACCTATATCTCCCAGCTAGTAGGAATCAAACTAACCCTACACATTGTGAGTGCCGACGAAACAAACAGATTGGTGGACCAGATGAGCTGTGCAATGGAGAAAATTTTCAGCAAATTAATTAAATTAAGCTCCTAATTAATAAGTCAAACAAATTGAAGATTAGTGGAATTCAAGAATGTAATTCATGGTCACAGCCACAATGCTATTGAAGATACACAAACTACATACATACATACCGACCTAGGAGGTGCCCAATTAACGGTTTACTGATTTTTCAAAGTGCTTGTACACTGGTACCTGTAATAAGTCGATTCTGACCTATACCTCCCAGCTAGTAGGAATCAAACTAACCCTACACTTTGTGGGTGCCCACGAATTGAAACAAACAGATTGGTCGACCAGATGAGCTGTACGTGCAATGGAGAAAGCTAGAAGGTATTATTGTTGCCCACATTCTTATTGGGAGCTCCAATGGTGAGCTCCAAATCAAGAACTGCATTTGATGAAGAAGAACCAGTGGATGATGATGACATTATAACCCTGGAATTGAGGGCTTTTCCAGCTGCATTATTATCATGAGCCTGCAAGAAAGAAGGTGAAGAGTGCTTGTTTGGGGTCTGTTCTTGATCATCATCTTCTTCCTGCTGTGATTTGATGCTGTGCAGCTCCACCATGTCGAAGAGGCTAGCACGGCGGCGATTCTTGCTGTTATTGTTACTATTTAGACCGCTCTGTGATCTGAGAAAATACTTCTGAGCATGACTGGCAACCTGGGTTGGAGTCCTTGTAGTCACAAAGTTTCTGGAAATCCCTCTCCAGTCTCCCTTTCCTAGTCTTTCTAGTCCAATTAAGAATGTCCTGTGTTCCTCTTCTGTCCATGGAACTCCTGTTCCAAAAACCCACACAACATTAATCACTATCATTAACACATAATACTAAATATTATCTATCCTAGCATGATTAGTGTTGGGCAGAGGCCCGAGAAGGGCCAAGTCCAGCACCAGGTAACTAAGAGATTGTTGCCAGTCCAGCACGGGATGCATGCTACACAAATATAAAGAAATAAAGTTGCGCATTTACTATTACGTATAGCTTTTGGCGTTGTGGCAAACGTTGGATACTAACAATTAGAACAATAGAATCCTTACTATAGTACCTTTCTTCTTTTCTTTATTAGCTTCAAAAATGGTGGCATCAGAAGCTGGGTAGGTAAGAGATGTCTTCTCTGCAGAGATTTCATTGGCAGAAAAGTGGGGAGAAGACAGAGATGAAGAAGAAGACAAGCAATCCAAGCTGCAACTTTTCTTCATCATGGCAGAGGAAGAAGAAGAGGAAGAGATTTCAAGTTCAACTCCAAAAAGCCTCAGCCCTCCCACATTAACACTGCTGCTGCTGCTGTGATGATGATGATGGTGATGATGATGATGATGGGAAGGTTTGAGAGTGGTGCAAGTTCTTGAATTGTGGCCAGCACTTCCACAAAGTGAGCATTTTCTTCCCATTTTTCAGAAGCTACCTAAATCATCCTCATAACATTCACAAAAAAATGGAGATGATGAAGAGAGAGAGAGAGAGGTGTGGTGTAGTGGGAGACAGGTATTTAAAATGGGATAATTTAACTTGTACTCCCTCAGGTTTTATGCCACTATTCTTTAGACACCCTCTTATTTCTCAAGTTATTCCCAACACCTTATAGGCAACTCAGTTAGTTTCTAGGTGGTAAATTACGGGCAAAGACATATGATTGAAACCTAACAGTTGCGTGTGAAAGTTTTACCTAATTTAGTGGGCTCCTTGTGGGCCTGCACTATGATCCTCGCGCCCTACCTAATGAGGGCAAATTATGCTGTAGAACCGTGTCCACCTTGCAAGGTGGACACAGTTCTAAAACTATTTCATAATTGTGAATATAAAGTTCAAAAATTATGAACATAAGGTTCTATAATTATGAACATAGAGTTCTATAATTATGAACATAGAGTTTTGTAATTGTGAATATAGAGTTCAATAATTGTGAATATGAAGTTCAAAAATTATGAACATAGAGTTCAGTAATTATGAACATAGAGTTCTGTAATTGTGAATATAGAGTTCAATAATTGTGAATATGAAGTTCAAAAATTATGAACATAGAGTTTTATAATTATGAACATAGAGTTCAGTAATTATGAGCATGCAAGGTGGACATGGTTCCACGACATAACAATTGCCTAATGAGCCACTAAGTCATATATTGATTTATCCCTTTACTATTCTATCAGGTCGGGGGTGGGGGCAAAGAAATTTCACCTTTAGTAGCAAGTTTAATTCTTACTTGAAAAAAAAAAAAAAAAAAAAAAAAAAACAGATCCAGAGCTCACTATTTAAGTATTTAATATATGTATATGAAATAATCAATCAATTTTACAATTGCATTAATAATAATTTACTTACCAACTATCTCTAACGACTCGATTAATAAATAATATTATCACATTTAGAATATATAGTTGAAGTGTGATTTATGAGAATATTGGGATGTATATGCAAAGAATGAGAAAATATATGATTGGATGGAAGTTGATTGTTTTTTGTTGGATATTTTTTATCCAGCTTGAAAAAGAAAGCAACAACCTAACTGGCCTCTCTTTCTTTCAAGAAAGACAAGGAAACAACAAATACAACCTTATCTCACACGAGATAAAATGTTCAACTTTTTCTTTCTAAATTCCACAATGATATTATCTGTATTATTAAATTATTCCTTCTTTTTTTTTTTTTTTTTTTTTTTTTGTTTAATCATAGCGCAGATCGAGGGATCCCCTGGAATTCAATGGTTCAAATATATATATAGTCATTATTTTTTTTAAAAAAAAATTCTTACATGATATATATTTATGAGAAAATGACACTTTTCTTCTCTAAATTATAGGCTTATAACACTTTTTCTCCTTGGATTATTTATGTATTCACATTTGCTCCCTTAATTATTTTAAAAGTGACAGTTTTTTCCCTTTGATGTTAAATAGACATTTTTACCTTTTTTTTTTTTTTTTTTTGAATGTTACTGGCCCTATTACATTGTAGTATCTGTTCATATACTTTCTCAACCTACTGAAACACAAAGAACCAATAACGCCTCCACTGAGGCTCGAACTCGTAACCTTCCAAATGGAAGTCCAACCCGGGTACCATTAGACATTTTTACCTTTAAAATAATTATTTCATATATTTTTCTTCTCCAACAAATTATTGCTTATATGTAGAGATGACAACGGTTCGATTTGAACCGAACTGAACATTATAGTAATCGAACTGAAACAGTAGAGACAGTTCTTGTTACGATTCAGAACCGAAAAAAAATAAATAAAAGAAAATAATTGTTGAATTTAGTTATTTTTTAAAATAGAAAATAGAATATACAAAAATAAATAAATAAATAAATTTTGGGAAAAGGGTCAAATAGGCCCCTGAACATTACTCAAGGAGTCAATTAGGCCCTTGAACTTTCAAAATGTGCAATCAAGCCCTTAAATATATTATTTTAGGGCAATATGGCCCAAAAACCGATTGGTAACCTACAATTATAGGTCAAAAAGATTCCAGCGAACCTCCGACAACATTCCAGCAAAAAACCGACGAAACGTTCGCCGACGTCATTTGGCTGCCATCTAGGCAACCAGTTTGGTTGCCTTCTCCGGCGAAGGAAAAGGCTGACCAAAGCAGTTGGTCTGCCTTCTCCTTCGCCGGAGATGGCAGCCAAATGACGTCGAAGAACATTTTGCCGGAATGTTGTCGGAGGTTCACCGGAAGGTCGCCGGAATCCTTTTGACCTGTAATTGTAGGTCACCAATCGGTTTTTGGGCCCCATTTCTCTAAAATAATATGTTTAAGGGTTTAATTGCAACTTTTGAAAGTTCAAGGGCCTAATTGACTCCTTGAGTAATGTTCAGGGGCCTATTTGACCCTTTTCCCATAAATTTTGAACTGGCGGTTCAAACCGAAACTGGAATCAAAATAAATGAAAATCCGAACCGAATAGATTTATAAACACCGTTTGTAAATGATAAATCTATTCGGCTCTCGTTCACATTTATGCTGATTCCAGTTTCGGTTTGAACCGCCTGTTCAAAATTTATTTATTTATTTATTTTTGTAAATTATATTTTTTTATTTTAAAATAATCTAAATGCATTCACACTTTGGAGGGAAAATTTTGTAGTTAGATTCTGCTTTATTATTATTATTATTATTATTATTATTATTATTATTATATAAAGATATAAAGATTTTGTTCAATTTAGTCCATATACTTTAAAAAATGAAACAATTAAGAACAATAGCTGATGTGCTGCTAACATCATCTTTACCATGTCATCATACTTACATGCCAACCATATATTATTTTATAAATATTTAAAATTAATTATTTTTACCACTAATATAATATGTCCAAAATAAATACATAAATATTTGCCTATAACAAAATTTGAATGCCTAACCCCTTACATAGAGAAGGCACTCACTACCACTTTACTACTATCTTATCTTGTAAATTTAATGTAAAGAATAATTAAGTACCATTATAAATTAGTATTTGTAGAAAATTTTAGTTCTAATAAAAATTTTCCTAAAATTTAGAACAAATTGATAAGTAAAATTTTTAAAAATTATGTTAATAAAAAATAAATAATGATGATAAATATGTAATATTTTAATTTATTATGATTTATAATAATATTTTAATAAGTGACGTTTTTATATAGTGTATTAAAATGCATATTACTTATTAGTTTATCAAAAAAATTATTAACATTAATAAAATTTTATTTACGCATTGCTAATGTTAATTTATTTTATTTGAATAAATTAAGTCATGTGTACTTCAATATAAATTTAAAAAATTTATTTGTTAAAAAAACCCTTTATAATCACTCACCGCTTATTTTAAATTAGTTAATTGAAGGTAACTTTAAAAACAAGGACTCAATTACACTACTTTTGTAAATTTAAGAATCTATTTAGAAGTTTTTTCAAATTTGAATTTTTGGGTGTAAATCACCGCCCCGTTGGGTTAAAAAAAACCCCACAGTAGCAATTTATTAGGTCCTACCGGGAGTCGAACCCAGGTCGCTGGATTCAAAGTCCAGAGTGCTAACCACTACACCATAGAACCATTTGCTTCAAATTTGATGACTTAACTATTATTTTGAGAAGTTTCCCCAAAAAAAAAAAAATGATTGTTTTGATAAAAGTTGCGGACATATTTGATCATTTTCCCATTTATATATTACATGCTCCATAGAAATAAATATGGTCAAATTAAAAATTAATAACTAAAAATAATGTCACAAATCACAATTAGTCATAAGACCCAAAAGTGAAAATTTATCAATTATTTTAATGCATTTTATCCTTATCTTCCTAGACTAGAAAATAATATCCTTCTTACATTCATTATCATTATCCCATATGAAATTGACAATTGACAAATATAATAATAGATTAATAGGTAAATGGCTTTCTGATCAAGATATTATCACTTTTGTCCCTTAACTATTATTCATTTTTTACGTTTGGTATCCAATTATTAATTTTGCCACATTTAGAGCGCAAATATGCTTTTGTTACCACATTTGATTTTACCGACCAAATCTCCAACAACTACTTTTCGAAAAATGTAACTTTTTCTCATTCAAAGTTTAGTGGACAAACAGTAACTTCTAAAGCTCCACAAGATCAAACATAAGAGAAACAACACCAAGAAAGTTCCAAGGTTTGAATCATAGAAACACACACAAATCCTATGAAAATACCTTGTCTGTCATCTACAAGCCAAGAATGAACCTTGCTTTTATGAAACAATGCCGAATGTTATGAAAACCATGAAATAAAAACGCCTTCACATAGAGATCACAATAAAGATGTTGAAAAGTATGTCCAAGAAGACTTATATGATACATGAAGTCCTTCGAAACTTTGATCTGTCAATTTTCTGAACTCGCGCTGATATGTATTGTGATCGAGATAAACATGTCTACACCAGATGGGCAATTGGCCATCGGGTTTTGTGTCGAGTACAGCGGGCGCATGTATGTTATCTTTCCATCTTTCCTTGTGTAGAAGTAGTAAAGATGGTCTCGTTTAAAACCTCGATGCTCCCACCAAGCCAAAATTTACACCTAAGGCAAATACGAGCAATGCAATCTGCAAGAAGAGGCAAACGAACTTCCTAATCAATGCAATTCTGAACATTCAAATAGGGTAGGATTGGAAATTCCCGACAATGAAGATGCGTTTTATATATAGGTTTAGGTTTAAACCCTAAATGCCTAAACCTGAGGGCCCCTCACCCCCTGGAATTGCGAGAGGAGGTAAATCGCGGGATGTGCCTTATGGACACAGGGTCTGAGTGCTTGCTTTTTGCCCCAAGGCTAAGATCCTCCTCCATTGAGGATTCGATTATTCGAACCCGGGTATTTGATGCGTTTTATATATGTAGCTTCAGGTTGTGTTGTTATTCGTACAAATAAAAAGAAATGAACTATAGATTTTTGTGCGGCAAAAAAGTGTATATAGACTTACAGTGCAAAGATGCTAAGTTTCATTCCAAGTTCGGAACTTGCAAATGCCACGACGACTCTCCACAAAAGAATCTCGTATAGATTTCACCATAGAGGAAACAGCTGGCACAAGGATCAGCTCCTCATGCTGCTCCTGAAAATTTAAGGCCGTCTTTTGACGTAAATACATACATCCATACATCTATACACACGTATACATATATATGAGCGTGCACACACTTTAAGTTGCAAATATTTGAGTAATTTAATACCACTTCAGCTAGTCGATCTTCAAAACTCCCGGAATCAGCACCAGCTGTCATGAATATCTTTCTATAAGCAGATCTGAGACTCCTTATCTGAATCCATGCAGGAAAAATATAATAGAAGACAGCCTTATAACTTACTGCCGGTATATATTTGACTATAGCAAAGCACATTTGCTGTCAACTAGTAAATTAAACCCGAACAGTGATTTCCAGAAAAATTTCAACAATATACATATAATTTCTTCGGTTTAAACAAACCTCCATCACAGAGAATCCACGGCGACGAAGACCTTCTAGATTTAATCCACGAAGCTCAGCTCTTTCACCAGACACCATCGTGTACTTTGGAACATCTTGGGAAACCTAGAATGTGCAGATAATCAGCCTTGTAAAATGAAAAGTTTCCCAATATTCAAAGTTTACTTTTGATGGGCTCCAAGCAACACGTGGGCCATAGTCTCCGGTGACACGGAGATTCAAACCCATGACCTTTGGCATAGCTCTGACACCAAATTAAAGCATGTGCTTCATCTCAACAAAAAGCTTAAGCTGATAGTTGGATTGCACATTTATGTTTATATATATTATATGCTCAACATGGAAAACATTAGAAAATAATCTTACCACCGAGCCACCACCAATGAAGGAAAATGAACCAATATGACAAAATTGATGGACCACCGTGGCTCCTGCAGTGTGGGTATAGTCCTACGTAAAAAAAAACATTCAATCCCTATTAAGACAAAGCTCCTTCGTTTAAATTGTTATTCTTAAACAAAGCTCCACCTTATTGCAATGAATTACCTCGACTACAACATGCCCGGCCAAAAGTGTATTATTCGCCAAAATGTTGTTGTTACCCACTTTGCAGTCGTGAGCTATATGACAAGAGCCCATAATAAGATTGCTATCACCTATGACCTGCTTAGTTAGTTCTCAATAGAACATAAGTATATCACGAACTTAAGCATTCTGTCGGTTTTCAAATATTAACAAGCATGCTGCATACCGTTTTATCACAAGGCTTTGAAGATCGATGGATGGATGTATGCTCCCTGATCTCGTTATTATCACCAACCTCGAGGAAGCATTCACTCCCCAGCTAAAGCAATTAAAAACAACAAAAACAATAAAACAAATACGTTTAAAATTGTGATTAAGAGAAATTGATATTCAAAGTGCACCAAACAGAAGACATGAACCTTATATTTCAAATCCTGGCATTTTACACCAACAATAGCATGATGTCCGATTACATTATTGCTCCCAATGATGGTGTAACCGGGAAGATCGTCTCCAACCACAGCACCACTGCTAGATATAGGCATGTTAAACTTTGAAAGGAAGAACCAAAACTAACGAAATATGATCTACTAAAGGAGATAGATAGAAGCTTCAAATATACGTCATCAAAGTACAATTCTCCCCAAGAATAGTCTTTCCAAAGATGTGGCTCCCAGGGTATAGCTGACAGGCATTCCCCAACTTCACAGAAGCACCAATGGTACAGAATGGACCGATCGCCACTCCCTACACACGCACAACACTTGTTTTACCACTGTGCCAACAGGCTATGATTCACGTAGAAGCAACATCTAACATTAAGGTTGGCCTCAAGAAACAAACTAATTAAGTCAGCAAAAATGACAATGTGATTGTTATATGACACTAAATCCCAAAGGACAAAAAAAAACACCCTGATCAATTCTATGTCAATTTCTTGCAAAATTAATATCATAATTTCACTCTCAATACAACACACAATCTATCTACAAGAATATCATAAAATCTATGGAGTAACTCACTTCTTTTAAGTTCATATGTGTCATTACTTGGACACCCATGTCTCAAGTTGATACTATGACTATCTCTGGTGATCAAGATTGCACATTTGCTTTAAAATATGGAGATGCAAAGCATTAGATCAATAAAAATGAAAACTTTTCAATTATTCCTACAATGGGCAACTTCTTCTTTGATGATATACTCCCCAAAAAACAGCACAAAATGTACATAAAATCTAAGCTCCCACCCCACCTCAAAAAGAAGGAGAAGAAGAATCGTGTACCTCTCCAAGAACGGCACTGGGGTGGACAAGTGCAGATGGGTGAACGAAAGTGGGTTTTTTCTCCGCAGTATCCTTAGCTTTATCGTCCTCCGAAACATCTGAATTCAAACAAATGATTAGAATTTCAATTCTTGAAGTTTCAGAAATTCATAACTAGAGAGGGAACTGAGAAGGGGTGTTTGCCGGGGGGGAGCTTTACGCGCCACCGTAGATGAAAGCCGGTGCAGAGGCAGAGAGAATGCTTTGAGACTGAGAGCGAATGAGAGCTGCCGCTGGCTGCGGGCGCAGAGAAGTGAACACATTTTACTCGCAAAATTTGAGGGTCTAATTCTAATTTAAATTTACTTATAGGACCACCAAGAAACTATTTAGGGAAAAAAATAAATAAGAAAATTTCAATTTTGGTCCATTGACTATTAGTGGTGTGTTAATTGCAGCACTTGACTATTAAAACTGTTAATGTAGTACCTTAATTATGCGATTTCTATCAATTTTGGTCACGCCGGCCAAATTAATGGCGAATTTTCACCGGAAAGATGGTAGTCAAACATTTCTCTGATTTGGCAGGGACAAATAAGGAATTTCAGGTTGCTAATATGGTTGGTCTGTCCGGGTTGTTGACCTTGAAGCTACCCGACCCAAATGAATTGGAATATACCCGCTTAATTGATGAATTCCCTTCGATAACCCGACCTGTGAAACCTAATTGAATCGAAGAAGCAAGGAAGCACCAGTGAAGAGGACGTTGAGTTGAGAGAAACCTCCAGTGAAGAGATTCAGACTCCATCGACGAAGGAAGAAACCCTCGTGCTGCATACCAGGAAGTATTTCAGGAAGAAGGACGCGCTGCATACGAGGAACTTTAATGGCTGTCAGTGGTAAGTATTTCATTTTACTTTACTTAAGTTGTCTGAATTTGGTAGGGGGTGTGAGGGTGCTTTAAATATGCTCAATAACCTACATGTGGGGACCAATTTTGAGATTGGAGTTGATTGTTCAGTTCAGTGTTTTCAGCAGTTGTTATTGTGCTTTAAATATTCTCAGAAACTTACATGTGGGGACCAGATTAAGCTTAAAGTTGGGTGTTCATTTGAGTGCTGAGTGGGTGTTGTGGCATCTGTTGATATATTATTGTTTGTGGGGACCAAAATGTTTATGCCTTTGTTGTGTTCTGTGTATATGCTAAGCTATGTGGGACCACTATGTCTGTGTTTGAAAATTAATTCAGGAGTACTTATATGCTGTTTATGTAGTTATTTTATTATTTAGCTGCTTTACAGGAGAGGATCTTGGCCCTTTTCATGTGTTTATCTTCCATAATGGTGTAATTAATTGGCAAGGTGAAACTAAATACATGGGGGGTGATGTAGAAATCTATGAGAAGGTGCAAGCTAAGGATCTCTGTATACAATTCTTTAAGGATAAGATTGAAGATCTAGGGTATTCTTCAATAGGAGCATACATTTATCATGGTGGACATGATATTTGTAAGTTACTACAAAATGATATAGATGTAGAAAACTGTCTAAGAGAAGCAGAGGATGAAGGTAAAATGTTGGAGATTTGGGTAGAAACTATGGATGAAAATGATTTTTTTTCCAGCTGAAGTTGAGTTTGAGGGTGAATTGGAAAGTGAGTTAGAGGTTGAGGTTGAGTGTTTGAATAATGAGGCTGATTTATCCATTAATGAGGCAGAGTTATCAATGAGTGACGCTGAGTTATCAATGAGTGAGGCAGAGTTAACCATGAATGAACCAGAGGTGAACATGAATGAAGCACAGTTAACCAGGATTGATCCAGAGTTAACAAAAGAAGAGGAAGAACACTGTCAAATTGTGTCATATGATTGGGATGATATTCAGTTTTCAGATGATGCATCTGTAGTTGAATCTGACAGTGATGGGGAAAGTAAATGGCCTGTGTTCAGAGAAGCTACTGACATGAGTGATCCAGAGTTTAAATTAGGCATGACCTTTGCTTCTAAGAAACAATTTAGAGAAGCAGTGCAGAATTATGGTTTCAAAAATGGGAAAGATATCAGAACTGTTAGAAATGATGCTTTGAGGGTTATAGTTGAGTGCTCACAGGATGGTTGTCCTTGGAGAATAGGACTGAGGAAAGTGTTGCACTCACATGCTTGGAGGATTTTGTACATGGTTAATGTGCATGAAGGTTGTTCTTGGATTTGGGAGAACAAAATGGTAAAAGCTGCTGTGGTTGCAAAGAGGTGGGCCAAACAACTGAATAACAACCCTGAATGGATGATGAAAAAATTCAGGGATACAGTTACAAGTGATGAGGGGTTTTATTTAAGTGATCAACAAGCCTACAGGGCAATGTGGAAAGCCAAGAAACAGAGAATTGGTGATGCTGAAGACAACTTCAAGAAGATATGGAGCTACTGTGCTGAAATGGACAGGACAAACCCTAGGAGTAGGTATAAGGTGAAGCTGAGTGACTTGCAAGATGGGATTACTGGCCAGGAAAGATTCATAAGGATGTACATTTGCTGGGATGCTTCCAAACAAGGATTCAGACATTGTAGACCTCTAATAGGTGTGGATGGATGTCATTTGAGAAGTGGATCTGGTGGGATGCTCCTGACTGCAGTGGGTGTTGATGCTAATAACAGTATTTTCCCACTTGCCTATGCTATTGTTGAAGGGGAAAGGATGGAGTCTTGGTCTTGGTTTCTAAAGTTCCTAGCTGAAGACTTGGGGATAACAAAGGATAGAGAACAGGAGTTTACCTTTATAAGTGATAAGCAGAAAGGATTGCTGCCAGCATTTGAAGAAATTATACCTGGTGTGGAGCACAGGTTTTGTGTGAGGCATCTGCACTCAAACATGAAAGTTGTAGGTTTCCAAGGGAAGGCATTGAAGGATGCTCTGTGGGAATGTGCTAGGGCAACAACTAGGAATTCTTATACAATTGCACTAAGGAAGCTTAGGGTCTTAGATGAAGCAGCTTATCAGTGGTTGGGTGACAAGTCTCCCACAGAGTGGACTAGGTCTCACTTCTCAACCCACACTCACTGTGATATGTTGGTAAACAACATATGTGAGTCATTCAATGCAGCATTACTTGGTGCTAGGGACCAACCAATCATAGACTGCCTAGAGAGTATAAGGAAAATGTTAATGGCCAAGTTTTTTGAGAACAGACAAAAAGCATCTGAATGGAAGTCAATGATTTGTCCATCAATTGTGGGGAAATTGAAGAAGATAGAGAAGCATGCTTCAGGGTGTTTGGCCACTCAAAGTGACTTCTTCAAATTTGAGGTGCAACAGTTATATGGGCCCCAACATCAGGTGGATCTGGAAAGGAAAACTTGCTCATGTAGGGTTTGGGATTTGACTGGGATTCCTTGCAAGCATGCCATCTGTTGTATTTGGAAGAAATATGGGCAAGGAGCACACTATAATTATGTTCATCCCTGTTATTCCAAGGAAACTTATCTGGTTAGCACAGAACCCCCACTGCCACCTATCTATTCTGCAAGGGTTGGAAGACCAAAAAAGCTTAGATTGAGATCTGGTGGAGAGGTTGAGACAAAGCTGAGTGAAGATGGCTTCAAAGTCTCTAGAAAGCATATCTTACACTGTGTTATTGTTTTACTTGAAACTTTATTGTTCTGAAACCATATGTTACTAACACTGTGTTTTTGTTTTACTTGAAGCCAAAAAAAAAAAGTCATTTATTCCACCAAGCAAATCCCCATCAAGAACAAAGCAAAGGTGCCTAGGCAGCAAGGAGGTACTGATCAAGGACCAAGCCAGCAGCAAGGAGAAGGTAGTGATCAAGCACCTAGGCAGCAGCAAGGAGAAGGTAGTGATCAAGCACCTAGGCAGCAAGGAGGTACTGATCAAGGACCAAGCCAGCAGCAAGGACAAGGTTGTGATCAAGCACCTAGCCAGCAGCAAGGAGGAGCTACTGAATCAGTTCCAATTAAGAAGGAGGTCTGTTCTGAACAAGGAGGCAACACCAAGGCCTCAAAGAAAAGGCAGTCCAATCGGAAGAAGCCCTACTATACAAGGAGTAAGACAACATTCAAGTCCAAATTCCATGGAAACAATGATGACCCTATCAACATTGAGTGAATTAACTTTAGCCTATGTTTTTGGTTTTGGTAGACTGTACTGGTAGACTGCTTCAGTAGTGGTTTTTTGTATACTGAATGCACAAAAGCTATGTTGTTTTATTTTTTTGCTCTTTGGGAATGTATTCACAGTCGAATTTGAAAGCTGCTAATGCTAAGTTGTTTTTGTCTCTTTGGGAATGTCTTATGAAATGCATACTGAATTGCAAAGTTTCACTACCAAATACAAATGCAATTGCTTAAAGACCATTTGATTACCACATGTCCAATTAAGTACCAAATGACCAAATGACCAATTCATTACCAAAAGACCAATTCATTACCAAAAGACCAATTCATACCATTACAACTCAAAAGCCACTGCACACAACTACAATTCATAGGCAATTACTGCCACAATACTTGGTACCAATAAAACATACAAAAATTAAAAGCATTATTCCTACAATCTTCTTCAACCCATTTCCAGCCTCTTTCTTGTCACCTTCAATCTTCTTCATGTCTAGAGTTCTTACATCTTCCTCCAGTCTATTTATGCGTTTAAGCAATCCCGGAATAATTCGCTTGGAACGGTAGCACATTGGAGGGTCATACCACTCCACAAATCCACATCCAACGTGCCTGTGACTCTGATTATACAAAAATCACAAACCAACAGAAAACAAAATCAAATTGTGTATACAGGAACACTGAAAAAAAAAAAAAAAAAACCATAATTTACTTACACCACCACCAGAGCAATGCCAAAATCTTCGACATGGATTGTCATTAGTCCATGAAGTTCGAATCTTGAGTTGGTGACCACATCTACAATGGAGAATTGGGAACCTTTCCCCAAATTCATTGTACTGATTACCAGTAGAAGAAGAAGAATAATAATTCACACTACTCATACCCTCGTACGGAGAAACGCAGTCCTGAAACCTCCTTCTTCGTTGAACCAATTTAGGGCTTCCTCTTCGTTGAAACGCAGTCTTGATTCGTCTATGAAGGAAGAGAACTACCAGCGACACATTTCCAATGTTAGGGTACTTCATCAATTAAGCGGGTTATAATGCAATTCATTCGGGTCGGGTAGCTTCAAGGTCAACAACCCGGACAGACCAACCATATTAGCAACCTGAAATACCTTATTTGCCCCTGCCAAATCGGAGAAATGTTTGACTACCATCTTTTCGGTGAAAATGCGCCATTAATTTGGCCGGCGTGACCAAAATTGAT